CGCACCCCTGCGGCCCCCCACCCCGTGCAGTGGCAGAGGCGTGCGAGCGCCTGGTTTCACCAGGAGGCCCCCTCCCGCGGGAGGCGCTCGGTCGCACTAATTGGGGCGGAGGGGCGGGGGAGGAGGGAGCTGGCGCGCGACTCGTTTCCATTAGAGACGCAAAGTTTCTGCTCCGCGAGGAGGCGGCGGCGGCGCGGAGGGCTCGCCGCCTGGGGGAACAGAATCGGGTGGGAAGGTGCGGGGCTGCTGTGGCTGAGAAGTGGGGATCGCCCTGGCTGAAGAGGGGTGGCACCCCGCCTTAGGGTCTTCTCGCCCCTCCTGCTCTTGGGAGCGCGCCTCTGTCCCACCGCTGGCCTCAGTCCGCAGAGAGATGCCCTCCACGTTTCCGCTTTCTCTGCAGCCTCTAGATTGCCAGGTGCAACTGTGCGCCTCGCTGGGTGCGTTTTTCCACTGCCCCTTTCCTCCCTCAGCGGGCAGGGCTGACATCATCGGCAGCATTTTCTGGTTTGGTGGCGTGGTGGTTCCCGACAGGGTTCTGGAACGCCTTTGCCCCAAGGCTAACAGAATTTGGGGGAAGTGGATTTCGATGTCTGGAAGATGGATAACTCTTCGGACATAGAGTTTTGCGGGGATGTGGGAATGTACTCCCCAGTAAGGTGACAGTTTCTTCATGCTTCCTGTTGTATTATATGTTGCCCGGAGTTACGTAAAGCATCCAGCCTCCTTCATTTGATTTAAGAAAAGTAATTTTCAGTGATTGGGGTAACAGACGGAAAATGTACTTATAAGTTGTAAAAAACAAACAAACAAACAAAAAAACCCAAGTCTTTCCCCACGCCTTTCAATATATTGGAACACCTTTCTTCCTGTGAAAGTTTTCACTTTAACACCATCTGCTTTCTATTAGTTCCTATTTTGTAACTAGCTTCGTTAGGCATCCTTCATGAAAATAAAAATATATATTAGTTTTCCTTGTTTTTGAATTCCCCCTATTGTGAGCACAGATTCAGTGTTGCAGAGACCACATAATGCAAGTGAGAATTAACTTCGTGGTCATTATCACAGTGAATAAAGTGTTTATTATGAGCAACTTATGGCATTCTTAGGGTAAATACAGGAAATTTAATAGTTTACTGCTTTTCATCAAAAAAGGGGTGGGGGGTATAGTCTTATAATTTGTAGTGTTCTGTGTTTTTGCAGTCTTGTAACACGACTCTTTCCCCTGGCTTCTGAATTGTAGGCTAATTTGACTGAAGGCATTAGCCTTTGTAAATGGTAGGCTTTTTAACAAATAAATGCCTAATTTAAATGAATGGAAAGCATTTGTTACATGAGAATGAAGCTAGTGGGGTAAGCCATTGATGTATATTTATATTTCTACTTAATTGCTTCTCATAAAAGGGTATAAAAGCCTGTTAATCCAACCCAATGCTATTATGTAACACCAGTTTGGAGATTTTGAGAGCCCAAAGCAATGCGCGAAGTGCGCTAAAAGTCGGCCCCTGGACAAGATCCTGATCCTGGGCTGCGGTGGCAGCAGCATTGGGTTGTATTGGTTGGATAGGAGCAGAAGCTGCAGTGTCCATGGCGCAGTAGGTGGCGCTCTTCTTTCTCAGCCTGCTGCTGCAGCAGCTACTGGCGCGGTTGGGCCTTTTGCCACTAGAGGTGCCATTTTTCATGTTATGAACTGACCCTACCTAGCCCAGACCTCAGAGCAAGCTGCAATCTGTAGGCCACAAGAGAAACCTGAAGGGAGCGGATGTTGTCGCTTCCTTGCCATTCTTTGTTAAACTAACATAAGTGGTTTCCTCTATTCTAATCGCCTTCATTAAATGATAGTGCTAATGATATCAAATAATTTTAAGATTGATTTTTGAAAGATTATAATATTAAAATTTTTGATGTCAGCTAAATTCATTGAATTATAACCTTTTCTTTCTCCATGTAGGCTGATCAGCTGACTGAAGAACAGATTGCTGGTAAGTTGATGACTCCGGGGAGTCCCTAGAAGGCTGGAACTAGGTTCTGACTCAGTTTTGGTGACTCTTCTGTCCCTTTCTCCCTACAGTCTGAGCAGTTTTCGAAGAATTTACTTAAGTCAAAAGAGTAAGGAAAAAAAATATTTAGGTCAGGTGTTATTCCTGGCCAGTCTTTTAGTGATTGAAGGGAAGGAAGTGGAACTGGGAATGCCCACTGGTTACACCCCAGGCTGTCTGTGCTTTGCCATGCACGTATGCTGCGGCACCAAGCTTGCTCTTCCAGAGTTGGATTTACAGTTCTATGCCAAAGGTCTTTTAGCTTTTGCTTGGTATCCTAAAATAAATGGGAATGGGTAGAAATGAGTGTTGGAATCAATATGTTAATTGGGAAGTGAGTTACATTAGTTTGGATTTTAGTCTTTTTTCTATTTTTATTGAGACATTATAATTATACATCAGTGGGATTCGTTGTTGCCTATTCATACATGCATGTAACAGTTTGGTCCGTTTCCTTATCTGGTACCTTCCCTTTCCCCTCCTCCTGGCCCCTTTCCTTCATTGATTTTTTGTTTTCACTAGGTGGTCCTCCTTTTTCAATTTTAGCTCTTTAATATTCCATGGAGTACTTGTTTTGAAATTGTTTCTTTTCGGGAAACCAGGAATGCTCTGAAACACTCTGAACGCACTGTAGAAAGAACATGGGAATGGACATTTCTAGTAGCTTTCATGTCACTATGAAGCGAGAGGTTCTTATGACTATAGAAATTTAACATAAAGGGATTTTAAGAGAATATGTGGACCAATCGTCTCATGCCGGATGCAGTTAGGACTAATTTTAGGCTTGTTCAAGCTTAACTTTCTTTAAAAATATGAGGTTATTGTGGTTTTATGGTATTGGTTACCAGGAGCAGTATTTGTTTTATAGGCTGCTCTGACGGCTAGACCAACATGACTGTCGTGGTCTTTATTTTAGAAGATGAAGACCAGGTGGTTTCTGATAACTTGCACAACTTGAATGACTTGCTTTGGCAAGCCCCCAGAAAGTGTGTGTTGTGACTAGATTGGGTAAAGGCATTCATTCTAAAGGGTAAATTTTTGTTTTCAGAATTCAAGGAAGCTTTCTCCTTATTTGATAAAGATGGCGATGGCACCATCACAACAAAAGAACTTGGAACCGTCATGAGGTCACTGGGTCAAAACCCGACAGAAGCCGAATTGCAGGATATGATCAACGAAGTAGATGCTGATGGTAAGGGTTTTAGACCTGTGAATAAGTGCCAGTCTATTGTAATTCAAGTTCAGACATGTTACAAGATTTGTCTTTCAGGTCCCAGAGCAAAGCAGATGAGCGGAGTTTGTTTCTGTGGTTGACTTTATAGCCATTGACATTAAATAGAAGATTGTGGGCCTGCATTAACCCTGCTCACTGTCTAGAACGTTGCCTGGATAAGATAGCTGCATTGTTCCTTTCTGCTTGCTGTGACCTATAGCTCAAATCTTACCAACTGTCCCGCTAGTCTGCAATGAGCTCTATGGGGGGAGTAAAAATAAATAGCCATAGAATATGCTCTTAAAAAAATCCCTAAGAGGAAGAGAATCCCTCAAGTGCAGCAGGTGAAGATCTCTCTTAGAAATCAACATTACAGCTTAAGACAGTGTAAGTGGTGGGTGTTTGCTAAGGAGCACCACAGGAGGCTGGGGGAAGGGTGTCTGATGACTGTAGGGATAGATGTGCAGAACCAAGAGAAGGGGAAGTTGCACGAGGTGTACCCTAAGAAGGAAGTGGCAGTCACCCCTGTAGCAGTTCATCCTCATTCCCCCCACCACTCCTCCAGGGCACAGCGGCTTTCATGGCTTACTTCCATCAGTAAACAGACACACCTCACAACCTGTGAATTTTTGCAAATCATATAAACTCACTAATGTGCCACATAAGATTGTAGAACACAATATATTTTTTAAAGATGAGCTAAGAATAAACAGTTTGGATCTAGACTTTACTTTCTAGGTAATTGACCTGATAGTAGCCATTTAGAAAAATATGGTACTGTAAGGGGTATAATAGAATTATACTTGTCAAAAACATTTAGAAGCAGAGTTTTTAGTTAAGCTCTTTGACAAGGATTTCTGGGACCATTAGAGTTACTTTCAAAGACTGTTTTAGAAAAGTGAACTTTCCATAGTTAGGTCTAGTTTTTTTTTTGTTGTTGTTGTTTTTTTTTTTTTTTTTTGGTACAGGGGATTGAACTCAGAGGCACTCAACCACTGAGCCACATCCCCAGCCCTATTTTGTATTTTATTTAGAGAAAGGGTCTCACTAAGAACCTCGCCATTGCTGAGGCTGGCTTTGAACTTGCGAACCTCCTGACACAGCCTCCTGAGCCACTGAGATTACAGGCGTGCGCCACCACGCCCCACTAGGTCTAGTTTTATTGCTAAGGTGATTAGACATCTAGGAACATGAGTGGCTCCCTCCAGTTTTGTGTGAACTCTGGGAAACTAGGGGATGGAAGGAGGTATATTTGGCTCTCAAACTATATGGGGGAAGTTGCATCAAGCTACTGAATTGTGTATTTGCTCTGAGTAAATATGGTGGTACCTAAACATCTTTGCATGATTGTGAGATAGCACTTCATTTTGTCTTGCATGAATACAGTTTTGATGTAAAATTTTAGAGGCCTAAAAGACTTTAAGAAATTTCTGAATTTTTGAAAAATTAGTTAATTTTTTTGTAGATCTAGTATGAAACTCAGGGTCTTGTGCAAGCTGAACTATATCCTCAGTGCCGGAATTACTCTGTTTTAGAGGTACTGGTGAAAACGAGTAACTTAACCTGATGATTTTTTTCTAATTTTATTTTCATTTAATTCAAGTAACAATGGAGGCTTGTTTTGGGGGTATCCATTTGTTAGTTTTAGGGGAATTATTTGGAATACTGCCCATAAAGTGAATGCTTGTGACAGTGTCCTAATATTAATAGTCTGAGCTGGAAATGCTTCTGATCATTTCCCTTAGTGTGAAGTAGAGAGTCACTTTGGGGCTAATGATGTAGCTTAGTGGTGGAGTGCATGCTAGCATCTGAGGAGCCCTGGATTCAGTCCCTTGCACCAAAAGAAAAAAAAAAGACTTGGGAGAAAAATGATTAGGTGACTCATAGTGTGGCTGAAAAATGCTCCTGGAGAAGACTATGGCCCGTTCATAACCATTTTTCCCACTCTTATTCTCCTTTTGTCCCTAAAGCAGTTCATATATCACTGGCTTCAGTAGCTAAGGTAGAGTTAAGCCTGAGTGATCTCCTTAGTTCAGAGTGGGCAGTCGAGAGTGCTTGTTTCAAAAGTGGGAAGATTGTTCCTGCGATGTGCTGCTTTCCCCTTGAACTGCCCAGCTAACTTCAGTGGTCACAAATGCAGGCATATGGTTTCCTTTGTATCTTTCAGTGCTGCCCTGGGCACCGATGATTAATTTGAATCATGTGAAATTTGCCCTGTGACGTATTTGAACATTTTAGACCTATAAAAGATTGATCCTAATAAAATAGTCACTTTGTTACAGCAAGTGCTTGCCATTCCGTATAATGGCACCAAAATTATTACTGCAGAGCTGGGTTAAGCAGAGCTTATCTTACTTGAGCTTTTTGTTTCTTATTTTGAGGTAATGGCACCATTGACTTCCCAGAATTTTTGACTATGATGGCTAGAAAAATGAAAGATACCGATAGTGAAGAAGAAATCCGCGAGGCATTCCGAGTCTTTGACAAGGTAATTCTGCATCTGTGTTGCAGGCAGTCTGACTTTTTTGGCCATCACAACTGATGGCTGCAGCGGTCAGTCAGTGAGACAGTGAGACACAGCCGCACTGCCTGAGCCTCTGGTCTTGCTTCCAAGTATCCTGATTTCTTTAGTAATCTTGCTGGTTGAGGGGAGGGAGGCATAATAGAGAGGGTCTTTAAACCACCTCTGATTATTATTTTCAGTACTTGTTAATGGAAAAAAATCCCAAAATTCGCCATGGTGTTAGTTGGCCTGTGGTTAGTAGGTAGAGGTGGGAGCTGGAGATGGGAGCAGTGTTGATGTCAGCAAAATTGGCAATAACTTGAGAGGGGCATAATTAAGTTAAAGACCTACTTGCTCACCAAACCACCATCCATAACAATGCTGAATATTCCCAGGATGGAAATGGTTACATCAGTGCAGCAGAACTACGTCACGTCATGACAAACTTAGGAGAAAAACTAACAGATGAAGAAGTAGATGAAATGATCAGAGAAGCAGATATTGATGGAGACGGACAAGTCAACTATGAAGGTAAAGCCCTAAAAACTGCTTTGGCTTAGTCTTCAGTAGTCTTCTTTTGGATCTGAAAACAAATCAGCCGTTTCTTTAGACATCTACTGATTTTGTTGTACGCAGAGTAGAGATGTTGTTTTTACTAAAGCTGCTTTTGAAGATAACCAAAAGTTATGATTATTTGTCTTTTCAGAATTCGTACAGATGATGACTGCAAAATGAAGACCTACTTTCAACTACTTTTTCCCCCCTCTAGAAGAATCAAATTGAATCTTTTACTTACCTCTTGCAAAAAAAAAAAAGAAAAAAAAGAAAAGAAAAAAGTTCATTTATTCATTCTGTTTCTATATAGCAAAACTGAATGTCAAAAGTACCTTCTGTCCACACACACAAAATCTGCATGTATTGGTTGGTGGTCCTGTCCCCTAAAGATCAAGCTCCACACCAGTTTTACAATATAAATACTGTACTACCTTAATGATAAGGAAGCACTTAGTGGACTCCTTAAAGTTCCATTTGCTAATGATTAATACACTGTTTGGGCTGGCCAGTTTTTCATGCATGCAGCTTGATGATTGAGCACAGTCAGGCATTTGTATTAAAATCAAAAAATGAAAAAACAAATTCAAGACTATCAGATGGGTCCTAGTGCAGTTTGTTAGCATAAATTGTCATAGCTGGTTTACCGAAAACACATTTAAAATTGGTTTACCTCAGGATGATGTGCAGAAAATGGGTGAAGGTTAAACTGCTGAGACGGTAGCCCCAGTAGTCGGATGGTCCTCTTGTACTTCATGTGCTCTGACCCATGGTGACAATGACACCCTGGTGGTATGCCTGCATATGTTGGTTTAGCATTGTCTGCATTGTGTTAGAGTGAAATGGGTGTCAGGCTGTCACCTCTCACACAATTTTTAATAAGAATTCTTTATCAAGGGAGCATCTTTGGACTCTCTGTTTTTAAAACCTTCTGAACCATGACTTGGAGCCGGCAGGGTAGGCTGTGGCTGTGGACTTCAGCACAACCATCAATGTTGCTGTTCAAGAAATTACAATTTATGTCCATTCCAAGTTGTAAATGCTAGTCTTTTTTTTTTTTTTTTCCAATAAAAGACCATTAACTTAAAGTGGTGTTAAATGCTTTGTAAAGCTGAGATCTAAAGGGGGATGAGGCAGTTGAAGGGGAGACCAATGTACATTAAATACCCACAGCCCAGTGTTGGGTTTTCCCTCCCTCCAAGATTCCAGCACCACCTCCGAGCCCAAGACCTTGCCTAAACATGGGCAGCTGCCACCGATGGCTTTTATCATACCTGAGGATGTGTAAGTCTAGTTGCATTTTTCTCTGGGGGAGGGGGGAGGCAAATCATGGTAACTTAATGACCTATTCAGGCTGTGGAGCTCTTAAGGAAGGAAAAAACCACTTTCTCAAGCATGTATTTAGGGGTTCTTCTCAATTGTGCTGCTGATTACCTGTTTTATGTAACTACTTGAGACCATCTGTGCAAGAGACATGGTTTAGTGTGTCTGTAATTCAATCCTCGCTGTGTGTGGTAGAAGCAGTAGTCCTTTCCTAAGCCAGTCTCTTCATGCCTAAAAGACACTACCAGTCACCTTTGATTCCGTTTTTAATTTATAATTCTATTTAACATCCCCCTTTTACTTTTTTTCTTTAAGTTGACTTGGCTTTGCCCCACACTTCCTTCCCCACCCCCTCCAGGTAGAACTAATGCTAAGCCTCTGGCTTGAAAGTAAAACTCCAGCCCAGAGTGAATTTCATGTCTAATTATAAACCTTTAACCAAAACTCAGACATGCTGATGCTGGTTTTGTAATGGAATTGGTCCATTTTAAAAAGCCCCCTTAAAAGCATATTGCCTTTAATGCAGTGCTCTTGAAATGCAAGCTGGGTTTGTATTTTTCAGGGTGTGCACTGGTTGTGTCTTAGCAGGGAGATGGGTTCTTGAGTGGTGGCATGGGTGGTTTTAATTTGCCGGGGGATGGTGGCAGGCTGCTAGCAAGGCAGTGTGAGGAGCTCTGGGCAGCCAAATGGGTGCATTCAGGGCTGATTTAGAGCCCTTGGCTTCTCCTTCCTCTCCTACTCCCTGTCTTTCTGGCATTTTGTAGCTTGTTAGTTTTCTGCCAGAGGGGTGGGTCAGAGCAGTGGAGAGGACACATTGCCCGTGGCCTCTGCTGTGAGTCCTTGGACGGGTAGTTGGCCTTTCTCAATTCCCTGAGTCTGCGGGAACACCCGAGTACCTGGGGTTCCTCTTCTGTTGAGTTACTGAGGGCTTCTGGTTTGAACAAGTGAACGACATGGATGTTTCTGGTAGGGAGGTCAAATGGCCCAGTTGCTGACCCAGTCTCGGGCCTTTGGTCATGACTGGTAGTTTCAAAGTCGGGTGGGGATGGCAACTTGTTTTTAAAAACTTAACCTCGCTCACCCTTTTACTGAGTCTTTCTAGAAGTGGGTGGACTCTATTTTCATAGTCCTGCAGCCTATCCTAAAAGACTACTTTTGAAACAGGGTTCTTGGGGGGCCAGGATCCTGTATGGGAACCAGAAGCCCACCCTCCTCCCCAGGGAATAACGTTGGGGCCTGGAACGGAGGTGAGGCAGAGTCTACTGTAGCCTTCGCCCCTGGCGTCTTGGGGCAGGACCGGCCCAGGGGTGGGTGTCGGCAGTCTGCTTGAGTTGGAGGAAAGCGCCTGGTGTCATGGCAGTACCCTTGAAGTTGGGTAGCACCTTCCTGTAAACTCGCCCCTACTTCTAACTGCTCTATAAATATATACATATATTTATATATATAAAATGACTAGTTTAACTGGCATCCTGCTTCAGCCTGAGACTTGCCATAAGAAACTGCTGAGTACTTGGCAAAGCCTTTCATAGTTTCATTCTCCATCTGTTTGGGGTAGGTGTTGAGCAAGGCAAGTGGGTCTCAATACTTCAGAGGGTCTTTGATGCACTGTTGCCAGGGAAGGATTTTTCTGATTTTTTGACAAATTTTTGCACACTTTAATTGGTGTCTTTTGGCAACTTAAAACACATTGAAGATGAGCTATTGTACATATTTTTATATTCTCTTTATAAATGCATGTCAGACTGTACTTGTACCAATATTGGAATGAATGGCTGTCCAGTAGGCCTAGTGCTGCTGTCACATCAGAGGAATAGCATATATATTAGCCCCTCAGCATCCTGGAAACCTCTTCCTGAACAAAGAATGTAAATTTGGTCAAGTCTACTCTTCAATTATTTTAACCATTTGAATTATTTATTGTATATCCTAAATATATTTATCCTTTTGAGAGTGACTAGATTTCCACTGATGTGTCTTAATCTGTCCCTTCAGATGGCAGTTAATGGTTTTCCTTTTTAATCCCTTGAAGTTGTCCTGTAGGAGACAGAAACTGTCTGTCCCTTGGAGTAGAAGGTAGTGGCATGGGTAGAGTGTGTTCTTTCTCCAAATCTATTATGATGTTCATTAAACACTTCTGTAGCAAAGATGGCGGTGGTTCTTTGGTTACTGAAGTTGCCCTTCACCATGGCTATTTGGAAAGGAGATGTACTTGAACGTTTCTGTAAATCTCAAACTGTTTGGAGATTCAACCACCTCTCGGATGGGGGACCAACTCTATGGAAATTGTAAATAAGTTTTATTTATAAACCTGGCACTGTATTCAATAAACATTTCTGCAGCCTTTCATCTCTAACTGCGAACTGTGTAGGTTTTTAGCTTGAATAGCTTTCAATCCCTCTTGCTCTATGAAGAAGGGGAACCTGCCTGGGCTCCAGTGTAGCCCTGAGGGTGAGAGGCCAGAAGTGCTGTGGGTCCATCCGTGACAGCCTTACTCTAGCATGAAGTACTTTGGGTGTTGATAGCTGACATTTTAACCCTGTCTCTTGGCCCGTTAGTACATCCATGCTTCCTTTATGTAAAAAAAAATTCATACCATAGATTAGTTTCTCTTTGACCTTAACATCAATCCAATTTTCTGGGAATTGTTTTAGTACCAGGGATTGAACCCAGGGTGCTTAGCCACTGAGCTACATCCCCAGCCCTTTTTCTTTTTTTATCTTGAGACAAGGTCTTGCTAAGTTGTGGAGGATGGCTTTGAACTTGTGATCCTCCTGCCTCAGTCTCCCAAATTGCTGGGATTACAGGCGTGTGCCACTGCACCTGGCAAGAAATAAATTTTTCACATGGGGACTTTAAATGACAGAAGCACCTCCACTGACCTCCAGAGGAGACAGCCGAGGAAAGTGGGAAGGGCATGCAGTTTCCAGTGGTGTGGAAACCTCCCAGCTCCATCCCCAACCCTCATTCCTAGACCTCTGTTTCCAGAAGAATCTTTTCTACCCTGGTTCCAATCCCACACACGGAAGCAGTGAGAAGATCAAAAAGAAGATCACAGAATAAGCCTTGCTTTAGCCAGAAGGCTTGAGGCCCATCTCCAGGGAGCATTTAAACAGCCCCTCCTGTATGCAGGAGCTGGGATTCCACCCTAGGAACAAAGCCCTCTCTCCTCCAAGACTTGGAGCCTGGCTTCAAGTCTGAGTTCTGTCCCTCTGTGACCTTGGGCAGTTTCCTTACCATCTCTGGGTCTCTGTTTCCTGATTGTTAAAATAAGACCGCTGGACTGGTACCTTCTGCCTGTGGCTTTCCAGGATTCTGACCCACCTGGTTTGGCTCCTCTTGGTGTTTGAGCTGATGAAAATTGCAACCTCAAGTGGGAGAGAAATCGCATAGGAGTCCTGAGTCCTTCGAGCTGACAAGTGGGACTTTAAAATCCTGAGCCCCTCCATATTGGGGGTGGACTGGAGGCTACGCTTGCTATCAGGGCAGTGATGTAATAGTGGAACCTGGGTCAGAAAAACTGATAATTAAGTGACCCATTCGTCCAGAACGGAATTAAGAAGTTACCACTGGGCCAGTCAGGGATTCGGTCCAGCTGACAGCGTCATCTGATTTGTCAATAGCTCTGGTTTAGGAAAAGACATGCACATTTCCGATTTGAGCTGAACTTTCCCGGGCACTGGGGGGCTGGAGCACCCAGTGACTCACGATGCCTTAGAAGGAAATAAAACAAAGCTTTTTATAGCCGGGTTCTTCAGTCTCCCACTGCCCTTGCCCTCTGCCAGGGAGTGGGAGGAGCCAGCTCAGGCTGCACAGCCCACTGGGCGGGCCTGGCCAGCTTCCCACCTCCATGTGGGTCCCTGAACTTGGGTTTAAAAAAAACGGGCAGTTTCCCTTCTAAGAATTATTTATGTTTGTCTCATGTGTCAGCAACCTTCAAAGTGAGTATGAGTCGACATTGTCAGATAGTATTTCAAATGTCAAGTCTTGAGTTTTATTTTCATTTTTACAAAAACCAAAGGGAAAATCTGGAGTCTCCCTTGGTAAGATAATTTCTTGAACATTTTGTCACAACATAATCTTTTTGTTCCGGCTGCACAGAAGCATGTAGAGTTTGCATTTAGATGAATTCTTTTTTTTAAAATTAGAGCATTGTAACTACACATAGTATTTGGATTCCTCTTTCCCATTTTGAGTCTTTGTATACCTTTTAAATTGTGTGGGTTTTTTTTGTTGTTGTTGTTGTTGTTACTGCATCTTATAATAAAATGTAAATTCTCCCCCCCCACAACAGACCAATATCAAAATAAAGATTGGGATGGGTCTATTATTTTTTCTTTTTATTTTTTTAAAGTGTAGAGTATGTGCATAACATGTAAGACGTCCTGGGTTCAATCCCAGAAAAAAAAAAAAAGAAATAGATAAAGTAATATAAAATGGTAGTATCTTATTTAAAAGAACTAGGTGATAATGTGGTAGACCAAACCCCCCATGATGCAAATTGCAAGTATCCGTATCTGATGATTCTCAAATGTTCTGGGTGCTTGCAATGACAAGAAGCTTGTTAACAGGCAATCCATTCTTATTTTCACAAAAGTATTTTTCTGATTCTAAAAGAAAGTGCTTTTATTGTATAAAATTTGTGATATCAATTCACCCACTATCTTACAAACTCTAGTCATCATTTTTTATTTCCTTTCAGAATTTTTTCTCATCCTATGGATATAGAGACATAACTTAAAACATTTGGGTCTTTATATAGATTTAAAAAAATGAAGCATAATACTCTAGTAGTCATGATTATATGTCCCATAGATACATCTATATCACAACTTTTTTTACTCCTTATATCTTTATTTAAGATGTAACTCATGTGTCATAAAGTTCACCCTTTTAGTATATTTGCAACCATTACCACTAATCTTAGGACGTTTTCTTGCAGGGCTGGAGATGGAACCCAGGATCTTGCACATGCTAGGCCAGTGCAGTCCAACTGAGCCCTATCCCTTGTCCCTAACTTTAGGACATTTTCATCATCCCTAAAAGAGACCCAGTAACCAGTCACTCCCCATTCTCTTTCCCTCCAACACCCTGGCGAGCACTAGTCTACTTTCTGGATTCAAACAGGTCTGTGTTCAAATCCTGCCTTCCTCAGTGCAGTGCAGGTGCCAACTCTGCACATCAGTGTCCACAAAATGGGAAAACACTTTCCTCACCAGGAGGCCGTAAGAGTAGACGAGAGGGTGGGATCCTCTAGCATAGTGGCTGGCACACGGCAGGTGCCTGCTCCATCCACACAACATGGACTCTGTTGCCACAGAAGACGAGCTAGGGTGACAGTTGCTCTGGTTTGTTTGACACAGCTCAAGTTGGTTCTTGGGAACTGCCACTCCCTTTCCTTGTGAAGCGCACACCCTGTTTAAGCACCCACTTCTTATCCCTTGGGAAGCACAGTGATGGTGCTTGCTCTCTAGAGCTTATGGACAGGGCTGCCAGATCCTCCAAGGCCAGGCCTCAGAGCTCCTAGTGTGTTTCCTTGGTGCATCCACAAGGCACTGCCTGGAGCATCCGGGGCACCTGCAGGCTCAGCAACCTCTGGAGCACAATGGAGGCTCTGTTCTTGTCCAAGGTCAGGAAAAGTCAATAGTTGGACCCTCTCTTATTCTTGGTGGACATTCGTCTACCTTCTATCCCTGTCTCCCGTTCCTTCTCTTCTAGAGCCCTGTGGCTCTAAATCAGAGTGTGCCTAACTCTTGAGGGATGCTCCTGCCCCCAGCCAGGTGCCTCCTCTCTAGGCTGGACTCAGCCAAGCTTCTAGCACTGTGGGGAGTGAAGCCATCTGGTCACATCTCCCTTCCTCTCTTCCCCACCAAAGTCTTGATCTTCAGCAGTTAGCCATGAATGACACAACACCCCTCAACTGCCAAGACCTTCTGATTCCAACTCAAGGTCAAAGACACAGCCTCAAACCCCAGAGGTGGGCAATGACCCAATGGCTGGCTAAATTTTTAGTGAGCTCTTCCGCTTTGAAGGGTTCTGGAAAGAACTCAGGGTCTGGAGGCAGCTGTTCAAACAGGGTAAATCCTGTAGCTCAGCCTTGCAAATGACTGCCCGGCTGTCCCTCGGCTGCCACCTGGCACCAGCCAGCGATTCCCCACGTAATTCTCGTGCTCTATTGGGAGAGCCTGCTGATTGAAGGAGAGCGAGAGGGTTGCATTTTCCTGATTTGCTCGTAGGTTGGAGGTCTACAATTTTCAGGGCTCTGGATTAGAGGGTTTCAAAATCTTGGAAGGCACAGTCTTCACCTTTTGAGGAGCTTTTCCAGGTTTTTGGTAGAAACAACATTATTAAATACAACTGTCAATCAAATAACAGCATGCCAACAAATATAATAAACCAACTGAAATACATAAGACCTGATGCTGACATAGCATGAAAATGTACAAAGCAGGAATCAACCAGGATAAAGAAAACCAAACCATCATAGAGATTTTAATATATTCCTCTGAGTAATTGAGAAATCAGACAATTGAAGTTTGAATCACACAATTAGCAAGTTCAGTTTTATTATGTGTATGTAGAACACTACATCCAGCAATTAGAGAAGTCACATGAAAGATAGTAGATATTAATATTATTAACCATAAATTAATAACTATATAGTTATATACTTATATAAATAAATTGATTGTTATGATACTTATATAAATACATTAATAAATATTAATATTAGAGAATCAAGGTTGACTAAATATTAAATCATAATAAACCTCAACAAATATTTTTTAAAATTCTATCATAATAATGATATTATTTGACAACAAAAAAATGGATAGAAAATAATTTCAAAAATACAACTTTAAACTTCAAAACAAATATTTTTAAGATCCACTTTTTAAAAAATATTTCTTTAGTTGTAGATGGATATAACTTCATTTTTTTTTTACATGGTGCTGAGGATGGAACCCAGCACCACACATGTGCTAGGTAAGCGCTCTGCCCCTGAGACACCACCTCAGCCCTAAGGTCCACTCTTAACAGCAAATGGACCTATGAAGAAATAATGAAAACCAAGAAAATGATCAGAGCCAAATGAAAAAAATTCTACATTTCCAAACTTGAGCTGGGTGTGGTGGTGCATGCCTGAAATGCCAGTAACTCCTCGGGAGGTTCAGGCAGGAGGACCACAAGTTCAGGGTCAACATCAGCAACTCAGTGAGACCATGTCTCAAAAATACAAACTAAAAATAGGGCTGGTGATAGAGTAGCCCGGGTTCAATCCCCAGGACCGGGGGGAAAAAAAAAGGCAAAAAAATAAAATAAAATAAACCAAGCTTGGATATGGCTCAAGTAGTA